CTAGTATGCTTGCCGAAATGTACCGACCTCCTTTCGAGATAATGTCTCGATTACCATGGGATTTAGCCCGTGACGAAGGCCGGGAGAAAATGAAATGGCTCCTCGTCAACATCCAGGACCCCTCCGTCTTCGATTGCCAGTTACTAAATCGAGACCTATGGAAGAACGATGGAATCAGGGAAACTATCAGGGTACACTTTATATTTCTCCAGTTTTCGAAAGATGATCCTCGCGGCGCCCCATATTTACAGTATTATCTCCCGGGCCATGAGGTATCGGACAATTATCCGCACATCTCTATTGTTGACCCGCGAACTGGAGAGCAAATGAAAACCTGGACTGGTCCTCCGGTAATCAGAGCTTCGGACTTTTTGATGCAACTGCACGAATTTTTAGATCGATATAGCCTCGATACCAATGTGCGCAATCCAGTTGCGAAACGGAAACCAGAGCTAGCCCAGCATGCGAAGATAGATTCGATGACTGAAGAAGAAATGCTGGAGATGGCCATGAGAAATAGCCTAGAGGGGAAACCACAGTCCAGGCAACCTGACCCGGACGAACTGACCCGTAGCATTGGAGACATCAAGGGCAAAGGGAAGGTCGTCACAGAGGTAGACAAGGACGAAGACATGGCGGGAACGCAAGATGAAACAGAAGATGGAGAAGACACAGCACCTGGAGAGGCAGAATCTCAGTTCCTCAAAATCCCCTCAAACAGACCGCATACCGAACCTTCCCCCGACCCAGCAACTACAACTCGAATCCAATTCCGGCATAGCTCGGGCAGAGTGATCCGAAGGTTCGGGTTGTCGGAAACAGTCCAGCGGCTGTATGAATGGTTAAAAGCATCACCCTTGGAAGACAAGGCTGGTGTTCCGTTTGAGTTAGTATCGATGGGTCAGAATTTAATTGGATTGCTTGATCAGACGGTTGAAGAGGCAGGTTTAAAAAATGGCACAATTATGGTTGGGTTCTTGGAGAACTAGGAAGCGAGTAGCTATATACACTGGAATAATTTTTAAAAGGAGATAACGACCCCCCATGCAATGAATGATAGAACTTTGATAATGATCCCTTCTTCAAGACTAGCACAGCTGCTAATAAAAAAAACTTTTTACTTTGAATATTTTAATTTCTTCCAGGAGCTCTGCTAATAGTATATTTGATTTAACGCTTGAATAAATACCATCATGGAAAATACATTACTTGGCGCGGGATATCATGTGATTTCGTCGCCCTGGGTTTCAATACGTATCAGAATACAAGAAACATTTCATACACAGGTATTGTGGTCACGTACAAGTACGATCGAAATCAGATAAGATAAGATAAGATGCCCACCCATCCGTATCATAGAAGTTAGTCCATCACTACCTATTTATGTAGCTGCATGCATGTTGTATAAAGCAGGATCTCATATAACTTCTCTGATTGTAGTGTATATAGATCCCTCAAATATGTTCCACCACTAACAGAAAGATGCTCCCATTTTCCAGGGAATGCATAGAATATATCACGAACAATAGTATTTTATGCACATAGATTATTAGTTATCAGGCAAGAATGGTATTTTCCATCAAGCTAAGCAACATCAACATATTATAAACGGAAAGAGTTAAATATTAAATAGTTGACCCGCGTTTGCGTTAGTGATCCCACTTCATCGGGTCGAATGATCGATATGTTATTAAATAACCATAGTCTGCGACTCAATTCACTCGGGGTATGAGCATAGTCTATTTTCAAAAATTCGAGCTTGATAACATAGAGCATTCGATAGTTTGCATTCACCATAGTATCTCATACCAGGGCTTTGCAAAGGAGGAAGCCAGCTTTTAGAACAGGGGATGAAGCGGGGAGAAGTTTCCAGGAGTTAGAGTAGGTATAGAAAGACGTATTGTAGAATTAGAATTATTTCGCTCTAAATACGTACTCCAGCCAATTGCTAGTTAACTATTCAGAATCAAAACAATCTCTTTCGTCCTCCCTCAACTGTGCTCTGTGTGGTGTGTGTGTGTGTGTGTGTGTGTGTTGGGAGAATGCGGGACGACGAGTGATTACGTGATATGGAGGGAGGGACATCCCTGCAACGATGAACAACAAAACAACAGAAACAATAATAAACAACAGCTAAGTTAATATGGTAAGAGTTAAGAGAGTCCCCGCTCTGGCCCTGCCCACGTCGGTTTCTTCAACTTCTTCGCTTCTCGTTCTTCACCTCCAATCTTCATTTTCTTTTCTTGTCTTTTCATTTCTTCTTCTGTGTTGATCGCATTAAATTCTAGCTGGAAATCATGGACGGCGCTGTAGACCCTGAAACTCTCTATACCAAACAAAACTGCATTGGTACGGATTGGCCTTCTCTTACCCTTGCAATCGCACCGTTGCTCGAGCTGACATCTCTTCTTTTTCTCTAGGCGGAGGAAGTTTTGGACGGGTTTATAAAGGGTATGTTATTATTTCACCCCTAATCTTATCTATCTCCTTTGTTCACTTCATTGTGCCTCCCTTTTTGTTTGGCGGTTCTACTTTACGAACGAACACCTGGGGCTAAATACGTGTTTCATTCCTCCATCTTAGAGTTGACAAACGAACTGGCCAATCGGTTGCGATTAAAATAATCGACGTCGAAAATGCTGACGACGAAGTTGAGGATATCATCCAAGAGATATCTATTTTATCTGAGCTTTGTTCCCCTTATGTCACAAAATATCATGGCTCGTTTCTTAAAGGGTCGGATCTTTGGATCATAATGGAGTTTTGCTCGGGTGGAAGCTGCTCAGATTTAATGCGTGCTGGACGTATATCGGAGGAATACATCATGATAATTCTACGAGAATTGCTCCTAGGCCTCGACTACTTGCACGCTGATAATAAGTTGCATAGAGATGTTAAAGGTAAGCTACTTCTTTTTCCCCCTCAACAATATTATTATTTATCGTCGCTTTACTAACATTCTCCTTTTTTTCTGTCCGAAGCTGCGAACGTTCTACTTACCGCAAATGGCCAGGTCAAATTGGCCGACTTCGGCGTTTCTGGACAATTGACGGCAACAATGACCAAAAAGAATACCTTTGTCGGAACTCCGTTCTGGATGGCACCCGAAGTCATAAAACAGTCAGGTTATGATCACAAAGCTGATATTTGGTCACTCGGCATTACCGCGATAGAATTGGCTATGGGGGAACCCCCGCATTCGGATATTCATCCAATGAAAGTCCTCTTTCTAATCCCGAAAAACGCGCCACCCACTCTCCAAGGACCGTTTACGAAGCCATTTAAAGACTTCGTTGATCTTTGCTTAAGGCGTGACCCCAGGGAACGCCCGACCGCCAAAGAGCTGTTGAAACATCCCTTCATCAAGCGTGCGAAGAAAACCACATACTTGACCGAGTTAATAGAACGATATGAACGATGGTATACCAAAAACGGCAATCGGTTATCGGAGGACGATGATGATGAACCCTTTCGAGAGCAATATAATTCACCACCAGAAAATGACGATCTTTGGGATTTTGGCACCGTGCGCCCTACTGGAGCCAATAGAGCAGCTGGTTTACGTGCGATGAACGAGGCTGCGGCGAATGCAAGAGCACAACCTCCTACTGGTGGCAGCCAAGCATATCCCGATACACAATTTCAAGAGAACCTTCATTCAAAAGATACTGTAAAAGGCCCCCCATCACCACAAAGACCAACCCAACCCCGAAATTTCCTCCCAACGATTTCCCAGGACTCACCCGTCATCCCGTCACGCGTGCCTCTTCCTGAATCTCCAGTGAAGCAGAACAGCCATAATGCAGCCGACCAATTAAGAACCCCAATGAACCTTTCGAAGTCTCAGCCCCCGCTACCGCAGCAAAGCTCGGAAGAAAGCCCTGGAACCCATGATTATGACAAGGCATTGCAACGGTCCCTAGCTCATGATCTTGATTTCCTACGACTGGCCGATTCTCCCAGTGGTACACCCAAGGCAACCCCCAGTAGCGGGATAATCGCTAGAAAACCTGCTCCAATGCTAATACCGGCTATACCACCATACAAAGGGTCCGCCCAATCAGCCACGCCACTACCTAGCACATCTAGCAGCGGACCGGCGGCACAGATCCCTCCCCCACAGTATCCAAAACCGCCGGGTCAATATTCGTTGCCCCCTCTTGCACACCCGCCATCAAGCCAGCAGCCACTCCCACCATCCCCTTACCACCAACCCACCAGGCAGCAGTCGCCTCCCAGCCTTCCAAACGATCCCCCCGGTCCCCAACCCGACTCCGATCCACACCTTTTACACCCCTCCCAACCCGATCTTCAGAATAATCGCCACAACAACATCACAGCTCTACAGGGGGTCATCCTTCCTGCACTTGAAGCCGCGCTCCACCGACGAACATATTGTTTAAACGCAATGTGCCGTGGCCAAACAGGCTCGTCCGCTAAACAACCTCCCTCCAGTGAGCGGCTGCAACGCCAAGTCTACGCTCACGAAAAGCTAAAGCGGTTGGTAGTTAAAGCGGCTGGTATTTTCAAGGAGATTGAGAAATGGGACCAGGAAGCCCCTGTTTCTATGGGAGGCGATATCAGCGCTTATCTTGAGGGCTTTCTTGAGGAAGTCTTGGTTCGTGTAGAGCCAGAAGAAGAGCCAATCGATGGATAGTCCGTTCTTTTCTTTTTATTTTTTTTTTCGGTTTGTCTCGTTTTCCTTTTTTTTTCTTTTTTTACGGGGGAGTTCGGGGAAATTTATGTGTTAATGACTTTTGTCTGTCTGCATTTGGCCTATGTTTATTTTTTTACATCTGCCTGGGGCGCTAACGGGTCCGCTACCACAGCTCAGAGGTATCTTTTTCTTACGGTGGTGTTTTGTTTGTTATTTGGCCATGATGTTGATACTTCCCTCTGTCACGATCCAAATGACCACATGAATGATTTCCAGAAAATGAAAGCGACCCAGTTCTGTTTTTTTAGGATTTAAAAAGCAATCCGGAGATTTCCGTACTCTCGCCCGGGTGGTCTAGTTGGCTATGATTCTCGCTTAGGGAAAAACCTAAGCTCAAATGCGAGAGGTCCCGCGTTCGAATCGCGGCTCGGGCCCAAACCTTTTTTTTTCTTTTTTCACCCCCCCTGGCCCTGAGTCTTTTACTTGTGCAAACTATTATATTGTACTTATTGACTACTTTTTGTACCTTTTTATTAGTTGGTTCTTCTAGTGCATACCTGGGGAAATCTAAGCAAGGGGAGGCAAAATAACGGCCCGTCAACATTAAGACTCCGCTGTATTTTCCGATAATTATATACTATTATTGTAGCGTTATGTAGCAAGGTTTTGTATTCTGTAGATGAGATGAACAAATAGCTTAAGCTGATGCTCTAAACAGCCAATCGGTTTCAGGCGTTGGTATCATATAATCCGTAATATTAAGGGGATGTGTCGTATGTACAGCCGTGGGAGGGCCAACATCGGTAGCTAGGTCCGGAATAGCGATTCCGCCAGCAATCCCCATCGAAGCATTCGATGTGGCATGTGGAATCGATGGTGGAAGTGCGTGAGGGGTTTCTGAAGCCGCTGGAGGATGTAGTGGTTGGGCATTTGCGCCGACTCCGTCCAACTGTTGTGGCATATTCCCGATCACAGTAGCTAGGCGGGGAACATTGAAAAAGCCAAACACATCTAAGTATTCTATTTCATGAGGGCCAAGAGTCCGTGGTGGCGCTGGACTAGAGGTACTTGGGCCAAGCGTATTGGTAGAAGCTGCCTGGCTGTTGCTGCTTCCTCTAGGGGGTTGGCGGGATATCAAAAAATCAAGATCAAATGCCGTTCGTCGCATGTCAGCTAGGATCTTGACCGTAGATGGGGTGGTTCGATCGCCGGATCCAGATCCGATGGATTGTTCGTATTCAGCGTACTCATCTAATACACGCTGTAGGATGGTGCTGTATCGCTCTGCTACCTTCCAGTGGTGGCCCATGCGACGTAGAGTGTCAACAAAGAAGGAGATTTCCGGGTCAAGAGTGTGCGCAACCGTCGAGCCATTGACCAAGAGAAGTCGAGCTGACACCCACAGGGTAAATGCGAAAGGCGGACCGAATTTGTCGAGTACATTATTATCGACCACAAAACGGGCGATTATTCGAATCCGATCGACGGCAGCTAAACATCGTTGTATCGCGCTGTAGGATGGAGTGAAAATAAGAGACCGAGTAGTAGGATATGCTGCCGATGAATGAAGTCGAATCACGGCACTAGATTATGAGAAGGTGTGTGATATTAGAAAACATGCCCTTGATAAGGATTTGGCTTCAACCAGCCGGTAGTTATCTTACGTTTGGTACGCTGCATGTAACATAATCCAGCCACAGTGCACAGTTCTTGATTTGGTAGGTGCTAAATAGCGGTTAGATCTTGCGAAGGAATATTCAGCAGGTAAGTGATATTCCCAGGTCGTTAGCTCATGGTCAAGTTTCCGGTACGTTGTTTGCCATTGTTCAACATCCGCAACATCGTTGATATCGACTGGGCACTTGAGGAATATATGTATTCTCGAAAGAATGCCCAACACTTCGACATAAAACCCAAACGAGCCCATAAAATTTCTTCCACTCAAATAATCTGATCTTTCGCGGCTTTCAAACCATCTCGTTTCGATAGGTTGGTTTTTATTGAAAAATTCATCCTTGCATGGCAACCTTCGATCAACCTCCTTTTCATCCAGGGCAAAATCAAATGCCGTAGCAATAGTTGAATATCTATCCAGTAGGTAGGTCATCCAAAATAATCGTCGCCTGCCTTCATCTTCTATCCATGTTTTGGAATCAGGCAGGATATTAGCTCTGAGGGTATATATAGAAGGAAATAAATTAGCCGCTAGCGAGGATGTAGATTCAACAGCTAGGCCGAGTTGGACAACAGATCTAGCAATCAGGGCAAGTAGCTTCCAGCCAGGCGGTCCATTTGACGATCCCACAAAATCCAGTGCTAGAATTACCAATGCCTGTAACGCTGTGATAGATGAATTATCAATTCCGTATAGCAAAACTTTCTGTTTGGAGGAATCATGGTATCGTTTCCTGTTCTCCTCATTGAGTCGTCTATCAGTGGAAAATCGAAGAGAGGTCGCTACAATTGCGTACAAGAGCATGCGGTCTTCTTCTTTCAACGGTGATGGCCCGAAGAATGTGTCCAGTGTTGTCCTTCGATGGAGGATGGGGCACCAAGTATTAATATGTTCAAAATATAGATCAACGAGGGAATATAGCAGGTCATATGGCGGGAGATCAGCATCAGGATCGGCAAGCGATTGGCTGCTTTGCGCGGTTGCTGAAGGTACCTGGGCATTGGATAAGGTGTTGTGCGAAGCTGCTTCATTACGTGTATATTCGTGGGGCGACGACTCTGTAGGCTGAGGAGTTAAAAGGTGCGATGGCATCCCATTTGGGAACTGCTGATGCGTTCCGTTTCTAAAAGCTTTGATCGATGGAGAAGGGAGCTGGCTATCAGGAGGGTAATTTGCGACAACGGAAGATCTGCGGTGCGAGGCCGATAGGCCAGCACTCGATCCATGATGGTACAACCCAGTTTGGGGACTCGACTCTTGCACAGTCGATCGTTCGGATGGTGAACTGTATGAAGGCACCCCTGGTTTTGGGAGAGGTTGGATGATGTGAGTTTCGATCAGGCGTGCTTGAGCTTGTATAACTTCTTCCAGCCGGTCTAAAATGAAGCAAATGGGGGGGAGAGAAATAATTAGAATAAATAAATCTCGCAATTGAATCGGTTTATGGGACAATATAAAATACCTAGTCGCTGCTCCAGCTCTCGCCCATATCCAGCCCTGAGCCCTGGTTTCTTGCGTTCTTTGTATTCGCATAGCTGTCCATTGCGGGCACACCAACCACAGCTCGGTTGGGCGCGATCTGACGGCAGTGTGAATATCCCATCCTAGTCAAGAAGTTGAATAATGGAACAGGTCATACACACCGCATTTCACCTTCCGCTGCTTACAAAGTTCGCATCTATACTGGCTAATTAGCAAGGTTCCCGATCCGGTGGTTCGGGCGATTGTCAAGCGACGAACGACGCCTTGAGTTGGACGTGGCGCAATAAATAATAATCGAGTGGACAAAACAGGATGAGAAAGGTAAAGGGGGAATATATGAGCAAAAACTAGGATCCAAAACGAGGGGGGGAGATTTACGAGACCATAACAGGGCGTTTTCTTTTTACGCCGCGATCTGAAGCTTGAGAGTGAGAGGCCTTTTGTTCACCAGTAGCGCCCTCATTTCCGCTTTCTTGCCCCGACCAAACGTCCTCTGGGCTTCCACAGTCGTCGCGATCATCTGTCTTTGTTTGCTGGGTAGTGGAGAGCGCATTGGTCGAGTATCCGTAGAAGTGTGGAGAGGTACCGGAGTGCTCCATCAATTCCGCTGGTACGATGGAAATCGCAAACTAGTCAAAGGCAACGTGGAAGGGCAAAATGAATGGTTTTAGTTATGGATCGCAACAAGAAGCTCAGCTACAAGGACACCCAGAAAAAGGCTATTTCTACGCCGCACGGGGAAAGAATGCTGGCGATTTGACGTCCATATCACTTTAACTAGCCTGCTTTGGTGACAGTGGCTGGAGCGGAGGATGAACAGGATGGATGTGAACTGCAGTTCCCATCATGTACGATTCCCTGAAAACCGAGAAACCCTGGCGATCAGTGAACGACCTTGAACCCCGTCAGCGCCTTCGTGGTGGAATTGATTCAACTCAGTGGGGGTTCGGTAAGGAGAAGTTGGTTAAATTAAGTCTGCTTGGTAGGCAAGGCTAGCCATGGGTTCAGCTGTTAGTTCACTGTCATACCTAACGGTCGCTCTAGACCAGATCATGCAATCATGTAATCATACTACAAGCAAGGCTGTGTCAACCTGCTCAGTTGCCTGCGTATATATATACGTATATGCCTTCTTGTGTTTTATCACGGTTTAAACCAGTATCTTATGTCGAGACCAAAGGGAAATAGAAGTATGCATTCTACGAATCAGAGAGCTATACAACAAATTTTTACTAACTAGAGAGCGTTGATTGCATGCATATATGCACGTATACTCTGGAGAACCCGTCCCGTGTCGGAAGAAAAAAAGGCAAGGGGATAGTCCAGACTTGGATAATAACGCGATGCTCTATAGGGAAGCCTGGTTGAAGTCCATTCCCAACATTTTCACCATGCTAACACGAATAATATAAATCAATATGTATGGAAGAGCAAAAATTGAGACATTTTTTTTGTCTAAGCGAACTCCAGATTAAAAAATCCGAACCCCAATAACGGAATGATATTGGAGAAATCCTTGCTAAAAATGCGTTCGTGCTGCATTATTTTTTTTTGCAGCAGCAGCAGCAAAGAAACCCGGTGCATTCTTTTGACGGGCGGGAGTGACCTGTAGTGAAACCATTGTAGGGCCAATGAAAATTATCAAAAAAAAAAAAAAAAAAAAAAAGAACCCTGAGAAGGATTAAGAAAGTGGAATTTGGAGAGCTGATTGTTGGTCAACGCACAGAGCTCGAACCGATCAGCAAAAGGGCCGTGGATGTCACGCCACGTTCGGATCCAAGGGCCACCCTAGAACGTAAGGATGCTCCAAATCCCATCATGAAGATGTTGCAATCTATATATTATACTCTGTAGCTGCCAGCAGAATGTTCTCGCATTCCCACAATATTGCTGAGAGTATACATATACATCTTTTGATATTGCCAGGGGTCTAGTGTTGAATTTTGCGGGTTCCCCACATGCTGTCTCACACACCATCAATTTCTGGGTGCTTTGACACCAGGCAGCTTAGGATAGCCGATTCTTGAAGAACCATTCCTTAATGAAAACCCCATGGTTATATCACCAGACACAGTTATCCTAGTAATCACCAGTTCAATTCAATTTCAGATGCACTGAAGGACCACCGATAGTATTAAGGGATATTCCCATCACATACATATCTTTTCAGTTGAAATGTTGTTCAGGGACGTTTTGTCATACATTTGTAGAGCGCTCGACGAAGTTGGAACCCGGTATCGGCTGAAAAGATCGAAGAACAGAGGGTACGCCACATCA